TAGAAAAGACTGGGGGTATAGCTCAGTGGTAGGCTATCCCTGGGTTTAATCTTAAGTAGTGCAAAAAGAAAAGATTACAAATAATAAAACCAAAGAATTCCTTGTACTCGCATATCCTAGATTTGTCAGCACCAGCAAACCCTGATGACCGCCTCTGCTTCCAAGTGCCGGGACATTGCCTCAGGTAGTGAGCTGCTGGCCTGGCCCTTATTACAGCTGCAGGCAGTGGAGCATAGGTGAGTACACAGGGTGAAGGAGGAGGCGCAGAAGTGGTTTGCAACTCTCACTGCAAATTGCATGCACCAAAAATCAAGGATTACTATTGAGGGTCTACTCTGAGCCCAGTGTCAAATGCCCTTTATGACTAGAGACTCAAGTGTTCCTTTCTTGCTGTAACATTCAAAATTTTAACTTTAAGTGTGTTTTTCTATTTTAGATCTCTTCATCAAAGAAAGCAATTATGTGCCTCCTGCATATATCATTTTTCTCTGATCTTTCACTAAAGACTATCTCTATTTAATACTGTCTTCATTTTGTATCCTGTTTTCCATATCTTCTTTATGTTTTTATCGATGTCTCTTCTCCTTTATGGTTCTTCATTTCTGTGATGGCTTTTTTGTTGTTCACACTTCTCTTCTGAAGAAGGAACAGGACTGGCAAACATACAGCCGATCTCTGTCACCGAGATCTTTTTGATCACCAGCATCTCCTGGGACTTGTTTCTCTGGCCGCTGTTGGCAGAGCCTCCATCAGTACTTGCTGCAGAGAGCTGCTCTGTTCCGTAACTGACTGAAGAGGGGTTATGGGGTTCTGGTCATTTCAGGTGAGTGTGGGACAACCCTGATGGGGTCTACTAAGGCTTTGTGGCTCTTGTGAGGCAGTCCAACTTCTCCCTTCTTTCCCCTGCCGTTGATCCCGAATGAGACCCCAGCATCAAACTCCCGTTTCTTTGTCTGCTTCTCAAACATCTGACCCAGGACACACCCTTTCCTTCATCATCACTGTGCCCACTTCAAAAGTCCAGAGTATCTGGGTACTGCTCAGTTCTCTCAGGTCTGGGTGTGCCTCAACTTGACTAAGTGACTCATGAACTACAAGTATCTGCTCCTTATCTCTGCCGCCCTTAGCAATGATGGCACAGGAAGAGGACTAACCCTAGAATCCTGCCATGCAGACCTGGCCGAAGCCCAGACCCTGCTTTCAGGAGGGGCTCCCAGCTCATTGTCCGCTGTCCGTGGGGCTCTCCCAGCGCATTGTTCTCTCTGCTTTCACGTGCAGCGAGTGTTGCCCTCCCCAAGGGCCTTTGAGGCCGGTGTCCTCATGGAAGGTCAAAGGTCTGAACGCTGTTTCCACTTGATAGGTCACTTAGTTCCAGTGCTAGGTTTCTTTGTCAGTAAACTTACCTCAAAATATTAATTAACTTCTAATCAGAGAATTTGGAAGCAATTTGGATTTTGAACACTGAAAGACCCCACACTCCTACGCTCTATTTTCATCCATTTCATCTCGCAAACTGGCCAATTGTTCTCATCTCCTCTAATACCTTTCTTGACTGACCACTTTTATAGATACCCCTACATGGACACTGTCTCCTACCACAGCACGGACCTACCAATGTGTAATTATTTGCCCTCTTTTTCTGTCTTTCTAGCAGCCAAGACAGGGACAGCCAGGTGTGGTGGTGCACACCTGTAACCCCGGCACTTGAGAGGCTGAGACGGGAGAACTGCTTTGAGTTTGAGACCAGCTTGGGCTACATAGTGAGTTCAAAACCAGCCTGGATTACAAAGTGAGAGACTGCCTCAGACAAACAAGCAAGCAAACTAACAAACCAAAAATACAGAGACAGGCAAGTAGCTGTCTTTCAATAAATGCTGATTGGATTGACAAAAATTAGTTCAACTATTTTGATTTCCTCAGGAATGTCTTTGGTTTCATATGATTTATGTAGGTAAATATTATGGTAAACTTCCAGGCACTTGAAAACAAAATTAATTATATATTTTCTATGCGTAGTTCCCTCACCATTCACGGTCCCTCTGTCCTCCACTGTCCCTGTCCCACAGTAGCTTACCTGAGGCAGCGGAGAGTCCCCATTAGCAACAGGGTGAAAAGAAAAGCCAGAACGGCTGCTGAAGGCACGACGCTCCCGACGAGCTCACCCAAGTGAGTCCTGAAGCTGCTCAGCCAAGACGTGTTCTTTCCTGCAGAAAAAGCACAGACGTTCACTGAGGGGAAGCCAGGGGAGTGATGGCACCTGAACCTTCAAATTCAAACAACTCTCTCAAATATCATGTTCTCCCAGGTGCCCAGAGCATATGGTACCATGTTGTGCTGCCTCTAAGATGTTCAAAAAGGTATCTTCAGGTGGATATCATTTTTGGCTACTCACAAATCGACTAGGAACAATAACCTCTGCCCCAGATACCTGAATGGTTGTAATAAGTTTATGGAGTGCTTGGTGTAAGAAAAGCAAAAACTGATTATAAAACCTCAACCGAAGTTTTGTTGTCTAAAGTATGCCTGAGAGTTCTTCAGGGGACTGAAGTGTCACTGTTCCAGGGAGAGGAAGAGAAGGCCACCAGCCCTAGGAGCATAGGAAGAGGGGAGCACCACAACTGGGAGGAGGACCTTGGGGGAAGTCTGTAGACCGAACTAAGGCTAGAGATGTAGAGTGTTTTCTTCAGGAAACGGGGACACAAGGAGAGGGTATAGTGATTTTACCTCACGGAAGGAGTGGAGAGCAAAAGTCTGCCATGTGTAGCTCAGAGGGCTCACCCCTTCCGGCACAGTGCTTCCCAGCTGCGGTCTGAGCAGGGTGTGTGTGTGTCGGAAGCGCAGTTTTAGGGTAGTGGTGACGAGCCTCTGGCACGAGTGCTGCAGCAGGCATGCAGAGCCCTCTCTATCAGCACTTGAGCCAGGTCGCCCCAGCAGCCAAGCATCAGATAAATTGTTTTTGCTAAACTAAACCCTCAATATTCAGGTTTAATTGCAGTGTGGGCACTTCTCGATAGATAAGTGGATTCGGGGCTGTTCTCTAAAAGTTTGCCGTCACGGCCTAACATTGTAGATAAGTGGACCGCCAGGTTTACTTTAAATTTCACATCCTTTGGCAAGTCTTCCCTTACTCCCACCTTAACACAACTTTAACTATCCCTTTGTTTTCTGGGAGTATTTGTCAAATCTCAGTGAAGGTTAGTATCTATGACTTTGTCTGACCATCTACGGCAAGGGATCTGGTACATAGAAAGTGAGTTAATGCTTGGTGAAGCAAACCGGTATAGCTAGCCTTCTTGTAAATAGTATTTTAAACCACACAAACAGTTCTTCCTGGCCTGAGACATGAATGTTACATTTTTCAAAGAGAGGAGCATTCATCCTAGTAGCAAATACGTCCCCGCGCATGGTTTTGATCCTGATTTTTCTTGCATTCCAAAGTCAGGGAAATGCAAAGAAGGGGAAGCTTCTGCATCCAACAAGAAGCAAGTCAGTGAGCATAGCAGAAGTGCAGCGCAAAGCAGCTTTTGGGGTTCCATGACTTTTATTCTTCCTTTCTTTTCCTTTCTTTTTTTTTTCTTTTTGGTACTGAGAACTGAATTCAGGACCTTATACCTGCTGGGCAGGTGCTGTGCCGCTGAGTTTGTGTCCCCAACCCTTTGTCTTTAGTTCTTTCCAGAGCAGCTTTATCTGCAAAATCAGAAAACGGTGATTTAGTTCTTATTACCAAAAGCTTCCCAACTGTCACAAGCATAAGAAGCACTCCTTGGCTTATATGAGTAGGTCCTGAACGGGGACAGTGTCCAAAGCAAAACGCATCTTCGTTTCTACTCCCACAGCTTATCTATCGGAAAAAGTCTGTTAACTTTACATACCAGATATATCCAGAATCCTGCCCTTTCCTATTACCTGTGTGGCCATTCAACATCTCTGTCCTCGCTTCCCTTCAGCCTCTTCTCCTGGCTATTCAAGTGTTTACTATTTTAAAATGAGTGAGTGGTGAATTTTCCTGGGGAAGAGCTCAGTCCTCTCTTTCCTGGCCATTCCTGCAACCACCTTCTCTACTTGGATGGAGTAAATGAAAAGGGCTATGAATGACTGTGGGATCATGTAATGAATATGATCTGGGTTGGAAATCTGATGGGTAGCTTTTGGGAAGGCTTCTGGCTGTCTTTTTTAAAACTTAATTTTATTGGTACACTTTAGATACACGTCAGCTGGGTGTGGTGGCCCAGGCCTGTAATCCCAGCACTTGGGAGGCTGAGGCAGGAGGATCATTGCAAGTTCGAGACCAGCCTTGGCTACAAAGTGAGCTCAAGGCCTGAACTGCATAGCGAGACCCTGTCTCAAATAGACAAAAAAAAAAAAACAAAAACAAACAAACAAAAAAAAACCCTCAGATATACATAATAATCACATTCATCAGAGGCGGTTTGTACCTGTGCAAGATATATCTTGATTCTTCTTTTGCCACAATCCCCTGCCCTCCCTTTGACCCTTCTTCCTCTTCCCATTTACAAAAGCTTTTTGTTTCCACAAGGAAAAGGCCAGCGAAATGGTGCATACTCTGGTTACAACAGTCTCAAGCCACTCTGCCAACACCTATATCTGCCCACCTCCACATTGGTTGGTATCAGAAAAAGAAACCCCTGTTTGAGCCATTATGTTTTGGACTTTCTGTTAGGATATTTATAACTGATATATCCCCCATCTTTGATGGGGTGTGAACAGACTCATGTCTGGGGAAGCCACTTACCTGAAAATCACCTGAGCACCAAGGTATTCAAAGAATCCATGGAACTGAACCTCTGTATTCAGAGGGCCGGCCAGAGTCTTCTCTTTAGGTTTCTGGAGTTCCAGAGAGAATTCTACAACTCTCTTTATGATATCACCAAGTGCACTTGATCCTCCCCCAGTCTCCCTCCACTTGACAGCTAACCCAGCCGTCATTTTTCTGTCCAGACACATACATCTGTGTTGATACTGAAACTCATTCTCTCAGTAGTTATAACCTCTTAGGCTTGAAGAATTCCATGCTATTTTACTTACCACACTGTATTTGCTACACCTTGCAATAGTGTTTACATGGAATTTAATAGATGATAAAGGTGGCATTTCAAATCAGTTGGTGAAAAAGAGTATTTAATATGATCATGGGATGATTGGTTATCCATTTGACTTTTTAAATGTGGTAATTAGCAGAAAATGACCCCTCCCGCCGGTATACACCAGTTTGTTAGCTGCCCACGTGATAGTTCCTGTTGCGGTTCTGGTTGCTCCTGTCTCCTAGAAATGGTTGACCACTATGATACATATTGTAAGAACCAATCAGAGACTGCCAAGTACTCTGCCTTTGTACTTCCTGCTTGCTTATCACGGACAAGCCCTAGACTGCCAGAGATCAGGGCCTGTCATTTTGAGAAACAACTTGATTCTTCACATCGGTGCCCATCTGATGTGAAATAAATCTGCCTCCAAATCCTGGGTGTCCTTTCAGTGTTTCTGCTCGCTGTTGCAATCAGGCGCAGGCACAGTAAGAACACCACTTTTCTGTAACAACGTTCTGTATTACACGATCCCTGATACCCACAACTTAGAGGAGGATAGATTTAATTTCACTCATGTTTTAAGGGGATTTAGGCCTTGTTTGGCTCTCTCCAAGGCAGAAACATCATGGCATAAAGGTACGACAGAGGAAAGCTACTTAGTTCATGGCAGCCAGGAAATAGAGCGAGGAAACAGTGTCAGTCAGGAAATGGCTAGGGACCATACACAGTACCCAAATCACATCTCCACAACCCGCCCCGTGACAGCCACAAATATGCTTCACCAGTCCCTGAATGGACCCAACGCTAACCACCCTAACCACCGCATTTATTCACTGCTTTCGCCCACAAAGTAAGCCAACAAATAGAATGTGCATAACCCGACAATCAGCATTTGTGCTTGCTCTGACTTTTCAAGTGTAAAAATAAATGGCTGCTGTACGTTACCTATTTCTGTATGACGTTATCATCAAAATCAAGACCTGTACACAAGAACACTTTTATAATATCCTATAGTTCCTGTAGATGTGGAATTTCAGGGTGTCCGAATTCTGACTTGGGGGCTGCACTCTCATGTAATCTGGGGATGCAGCCATCTGAAGGCTTAATATATGAAGGATCCATTGCTAATGGCCACTCACATGGCTGTTGCTCAGGTGACTGTACCCTAAAGAACTTCATGTTTACTTTAATGTCCTGATACCAATGCCTTAAATGTTTTAATCATTTTATTTATTTGTTGTTTTTTTTTTGAGACAGGGTCTTCCTACGAAGCTCAGGCTGGCCTCGAATTTGTGCCTATCCGCTTGCCTCAGCCTCCCAAGTGGCATGCGCCACCACACCTGTCTAATCATTTTATCTTTGACGTTGTATTTCTTAGTGGTTTAATGGGCCAATGGAGCAGGTACATGAATAGAGTAAATAAATGCTGTGTACAGGTCCCCTGCTGTTTCTTGACCCCTTATTTCATGTAGTATTTACAATGCTCATGAACATGGGAGTTTGGTGAAGCTCAAAGGGGATATAAAATACGAATATTAACATCTGTGATCCAAAGTTACTATTGGAACTGAGCACTTACCCTCAAACTGGTGACATTGAAGAAAAGAAAAAGAAGAAAAAGAAACCAGTTGTTCTTTTGTTTAGTTCTTCCTTAGTCATCACTAAGCCAAAGGTAGTAGGAAAAATTTAATAATTTGAATTAACCAGCATGAATTTTACTGTCTATTTTCATGTTGTGCAACGCTAGTTTTAAATGCAAATATAAGAGCAGTTAACTCATATGCAGAACCATGAAAACTATACAATTTATGTTGATAGCTTGTTCATATGACCTTTACTATAAGCAACAAAGAGAAACTAGATATTACCCTCAACAGTTTACTTTGACATCTCCTTAACTAGAACGGCCAGTTCATTACACACATTTCATACTTTTACTTTTATTTTTTCTATCATGCTCCTTAAGGTCCTTCAAGACTTCACTGACTTTCAGGTTCCAAAGCAGCTCTCGTATTTTCGTTGTTTTTGATGGGGGAAGCATCCCCATTTCAGTACCAGAATCTCTGTTTATAAACTGTTGCTGCATTACAGACTGCCTCAAACCTTGGCAGCATAAACGACAAACACTGGGTCACCTGTGATCCCAGCACTCAGGAGGCTGAGGCAGGAGGACTGCCACGAGTTTGAGGACTGCCACGAGTCTAAGGCCAGCCTGAGCTACATAGTGGATTCAAGGCCAGCCTGAACTACACGGCAACAGTCTGTCTCAAAAAATAAAATAATTGTTCACATTTTTACTTCTCAAGTAAAAACACAATTCTCAAAAGCATTTGTAGGTGTGAGTGTTTTATTTAACTCATTACTAAAGAAAATACCAAGAAAGCAAAACAGTTGATTTCAAGGGTATTTGAGAAATAGAAATGTATAGTCAATGGGGGAAAAAATGTCAAAATGAGATCACTAAATTCTATAGAAGAGTGGTTAAAATTTTAATTCTACAAGTGGTTTTAGCTATGAAATAAAATTTTCCATTACATTGTTGTGTTATTTGAGCAAGAGAGGGAGTAAAATGAGTGCACTATTGGAATTAAAAGTTTATACCTTCTATCCCAGACAGCCGTGGATTTCTCTCATTTTTTCCACAAAAATATTAAAATATGTTTTTTAGAACCCTATTATTTCCATTAATTCTCTTGGTCATCACACACTTTAAAAAGACACTCATTTTACCTCAGGGTTCCCAATAATTCGATATTCTTAACCTGTTTTTGTTGATTAGAATTAAAACAAAACCCAAAAAGATAACAGAAAAACACAAATGTTTTTAAAAAAATCAAAAGAAGAATGAAGACAGAATGGCTTTATATGTACATTTTTCTGATAATAAATTTAATCAAATGGACTTTAATGTAGTAGCTCTTAACTCCATTTTGCAGATTGTGCAAATGACTTGCCTTTTGATTTCGAGTGTGTTGCTACGATCCCAAACCTGTTTTGTTCCATGCTTGATCAGGATAACAAGTCGGAATCTTATTTTAAATATATGAAGCTTAATCTAAAATGCTTATGTCATGAATATCTTCTGGCAACTTTCAACACACCATTTTTCCACAGCAGAGGAAGGGGTGGCTGTGTGAGTCCTAACTTTTCAGGAAATGCAGGACTAATAATTTGGGAGGCTTCAGGGAAGTGTACAGTTTAAATTCATAAACAAGGGTGGTGCTCTGGACAGTGTGGGGTGGTATGCAACCCAGAAGCCTCAGAGCGACGATGACCTCGAGTCAGGGAACGTCCTGCAGTTGAAGAGGAAGGCACGGCAGCCCCTCAATAGAGCTGCTGGGCCTCACAGCCCAGAACTTCCAGCCTCAGGGCAATCTGGTGTGCCCAGCTTTGGGGGTGAATTCTAAGGTAGCGAGTCATTAGTGGTGGGTCCAGAGAGTTCACCACAGGCGTGAAGGAGTCTTTGTTTCCCTGAAAAACCTGAAAGAGGAAACATAGCATTTCTTAGTTGTCTGACAGGAGCAAAATTCGTTTTTATACCACTCCAGCCAGACTCCTCAAGTTCGTCCTTCTGCTCTGTCAGTCACTCGCTTACAGCTCCTCTCCCAGCATAGCCCTTACTCTCCTTGGCATCACCTCAAAAAATAGGCACTTTTCTTACTTCAAATTGCTTCCACTGATCTGAGCTCAAAACCTGGTAGGTGCTTAGATGGGCCAGGGAACCTGGGTGCGACATCTGGAATTAAGAGGACCTTGCTTGCCTGCTGTGGAGGCTTTTACTCTAGCTATGCCGTGTATCTGAAATATTCTCACCCACTTTCCAAATCTCAGTGCAATTGAACGCTCTGCCCTAGGTCACACCTAGCACCTAGGTTAGGTCATTTGGAGGTGGAGGTCATTAGGCACCAGCCGGCTGACTGACTTCTCAGTGAGTGGATTTGCCATTGCAGATGAGTATACAACGAGGACTGAATAAGCCATAGCCACTGTCATTAGCTACTAATGCAGCTGTTCTCCCACACATGGGTAGGACTCTAGAATGGTAACACAAGCACACAGCAAGGAGTATGGTTTGATGGGAGGGGTTGTGGGAGGGCAAAGAAAGAGGCAGGAGAGTTCAAGACTGCAGCATCTTGTCACCCTGGAACTGTGAAGGCAAGCTCAATCTCAAAGAAAACCTTTCTGTGGTTCACCGTAAAATATAATATTTCTATAAGTTTGATACTTGCTTTATCAGATTAAATATTTTTTCTTCTAGTCAGTTTGTGGATTTGTAAAATGTTTACTTTTATTAGCATATGTTCGCAATACATAACAACTACATTCAAGTTTCTTAATTTTTTTCATTAAGAACACATGTTAAATTTTATGAAACACTTTCTCAGCATTTATTGGTCATATAATCTTTCATTCTGCTACTGTGATGAGTTATATGAAATTTCTCACGTTTATGCCCACCTTGAATTCTTAAGTTCATGGTTTTGTTTTTTTTTTTGCGATACCAGGGATTGAACTCAGGACCTTGCGCTTGTCAGGCAGGCGCTTACGCCTCTGAGCTATATCCCCAGTCCCTGCCTTGAATTCTTTTTTTTTTTTCTCTGGTACCAGGAACCGAACTCACGACCTTGCGCTTGCCAGGCAGGCGCTTTTGCCGCTGAGCTAAATCCCCAGCCCCCCTGCCTTGAATTCTTAGGGTGGATCCAGTTTACATCAGTATTGCTAATACTTTGGGATCTGTTTTAATTAGCTTTCTATTACTGCAATAAATACCTGAGATAATCAAATTAGTAAGAGAAAAGGTTTATTTTGGCTCAGGTTTATTTTGTTGTGCCAGTTTCTTTTGCTGATTTTAGTCCATGGTCGGTTTGTCCTGCTGCTTTCAGGACTGTGGTGGAGGAAGCCTGTTCACTTAATGGGAACCAGGAGACAAAGGAGGGAAAGGGGTGGGCCGCACTCCTCCTTTTCAGGGCAACACCTCTTAAATTTCTTAAAAACGTTCTACCACCTGCCAGCAGCACCAAGCTGGGAAATAGGTCTTTAACACAGGGGCCTTTGGAGAATACTCCAGATCAAACTATTACATTTTGCTCCTTTCCTTACAAGTTGACCAACTCAGGTATTTTGTTACAGCAATGAAAAGCTGAGTAGCACAATGTTCATGGATAAAATAGGCTCATTATTTTCCCTTCTAAGTTGTCTTTTTTGAGTTTTGTTGTTGAGGTTATGCTATCATTCTAGGAATTGAATAATGTACCATACATTTTCATATTCTGGAGGAATATTTGTGAGATTCATATTCTCTACTGAAAATTTGGTAGAATATTTAGTATAGCCATATGGTAAGGTTTTTGAATACTGATTGAAGTCCACAAATATGGCATCATGGTTTTCAATTCTCCTCCTCCTCTTCCTCCTCCTCCTCCTCTTTCTTTGAAAATTTTTGAGACAGGGTCTCACTATGTAGTTGAGACTGGCCTTGAGCTCACTATGTAGCCCAGATTGGCCTCAAACTCATGACAGTCCTCCTGCCTCAAGCGTCCCAAGTGCTGGGATTACAGGCATGTGTTACCACATCTAACTTCCTATTCTTTCATGAGTAAGTTATATTTACTAGAAATTGATCCATATGACCTAATTTTCTAAACTTACTAAATGTAATACTTATATCCTCTTATTTTTGCAGGATCTTTATTCATGTCCCCTTTTGCAAATTTTTGTATTGGTTATCTGCACCTTCTTTTTTATATCTTGTTTAGTCTTGCAAGAAGTTTGTAAATTTTTACAGAACCAACCTTTGGTTTTGTTTATTCTCTTTATTATATGCTTATATTTTTATTTCATTAATTTTAGATCTTTATTATTTCCTTGATTTTAGCTTCTTTTGATATCATCTCAGCTTCTTAAGATGTACCTTGGCTCATTATTTTCAGTCTTTTTTCTTTCTTAGTATGTGAATTTGTGGAGAAGTCTGCTGTCAGGTGAATTGAGACTCCTTCGTGTATTATTTATTTTCTCTTATAGCCTCTAGAATCTTTTCTTTATCTCTTGCCCTTGAGAGCCTGATTATAAATGTTTTAGGGAAGCCTTGCTTGAGTTGCATTTGACTGGTGACCTTTAACTTTCCTGGACCAGGATACTTGTATCCTACTTTAGATCTGGGAAGTTTCCTGTTATTATTTCTTTGAATAAGCTTTCTATCCCATTGGTGTGCTCAAGTTCCTTATGAACCTTAATAACCTGGATAATCTCTTTCACTACGGCTCCAAAGTTCCTGTATGCTTTCTTCATTTCTCTTCATTCTTTTTTCTTTCTTCTCCTCAAATTTTATATTTTTAAATAGCCTATCTTCAAGATCACAAATTCTCCCTTCTGTTTGGTTTATTCTGCTATTGATGCCTTCTATTGTGTTTTTAATTTTGCCCAGTATATTTTTTAGCAAAAGGATTTCTCTCTTATTGTTAAAATTGTTTCTATGTTTTAGTTAAGTTTCTCTGGTAGCCTACTGAAATTTTTTGTGTGTTTTCTTCAAGCTCATTGAGTTTCCTTACAAGAGCTGCTTTAAATTCAGAGAGTTCTCCCATACCGATCCCTGCCTGATGCGTTGCTGGCACCATATTTTGAGTTCTAGGTGGACGTTACGGTTTCCTAAACTCTCTTGCTGTTTGTTATCAACTCATGTGGGAAGCGAGGGATCGAGTACTCATTTGTCTTCCTAGTCGAGTTCTGTTTGTGCCTGTCTGCAGATTTTCTAAACTGGCTGCTTGTTTTCTCTGCGTCTACCGTCACTTTCACCATTTCAGCACTAGATGGAAGGCTAAGTCTAGGTTTGCCATGAGTCAGCTAGTGTGTTATCATTATCTCAGCACTAGAGGACAATCGAAGCCCAGTTTTGTCCCGAATACAGTACCCAGCTACTGTACTGTTCACTGAGTGTCAAGGAGCATATGTAGAAAGCTTCTGCCATCCATAGAAGTACAACACAAATCTTATAGATAATATTTGCGGAATTTCTTTTTTTAACTTTTGATCTGATGCTTTTTTATCTAATGTTTAAATATGTCTCTTGTAAAGGGCAGAGATTTTGGCTTTGCTTTTTGAGTAATGCTTTGTTTTGTAACTGAAACATTTGTCCATTTGCAGTATATATAATCACTTTATATTTTTAATTAATTTTGCCATCTTGCTAATTTCCCTGCCTGTTTCATGTTTCTTTATCTACTTGTTTTCATTTAAACTTATTGAGTATATTTCATTATTTATATATTTTCTTCTATCATTTTGGGAGTCCTATGCACTATTTTATAGTCTATTATTCTTATTGGTTATCCTATAAATTGTAACATGCATCAAATTATCTAGGTTTAATGTTAGTCTACACTTTTACCTCCTAGATAAAAGTCTACACTTTTACCTCCTAGAACCCCTTATTCTATTTACCATCATCCTAATTTTTATACTTTTGTTGTCATATATTCTAAACGTCTTTCATCTTTATAAGTTTATTATCTCACATATGTGGTTAGAGTAACGGAAAGCTGACTAACCACACCACGGTTAATTATTGGTGGGAAAGAAAATTAACAATAAGACAGATATGAGCTCTTCTTCCTATTACCCATGGATTGCCAACACTTCACGTCATGCTTACAATGAGTACCATTTGAATTATCTAGCAAACCTAGTGAAGACTGTTTATGTCAGTAAAGTTGAAATTCAACCAGGCTTGAGAAACTAGGATGCTGACAAGACTACAGCATTAGACGAACAACTCATTCTTCAGCTCTCTGATTCTTGCCACCAACCTCCATGACATCAAGACCAATGGGGAGAGTCAGCTCTTGGCTCTACTCTGTCACTGTCTTAGTTACTTTCTCATCCTTGCAACACAATTCCTGACACTCAAAACATAAAGGAGGAGAAGTTTATTCTGGCTCACAGTTTGTAGAGGTTTTGGCCTGTAGTTGCCTGGTTGCAAGGCAGGGCAACATGGGAGAGGGCCATCACAGAGGTGACATACCTCATGGCATGGTGGCAGGAAACAGGGAGAGATCAAGAGAGGAGGGGGGAGACAGACTCTTCCAGGCCCCGCTCTTCGTGAGCACCTCCTCCAACCAGGCTCCACCTCCCACATCACAGTGAGATACAAACTCCTCTGAACTAATCCACGGATGAGTATCACACCCCCATGATCCAGTCACCGCCCCAAGTCCCACTCATGAGTGCCTGAGGCTTTGGGGAGACATCTGGATAGAGACCATAACAGTCATTTTCTTGGCATTTTATATTCTTGGTTAGAGTCGCTGTGTTCTCTTAGGATGCTGTTCACAGTGTCTTGGTACCATGGATAACTCAGTAAATTTTACCCTAAGAGTCCGATCCATATCAATCTGGTTTATCTCTAAAAATGAAGCTCTAGGAGAGGTTTTGTGTCTTTCTTATGATAACTCATACCTTTATTTTGCCATTTTGTAAAAAGAGAGTCCAGTGATGGCCATCTTGACTGCTGGAGATGAGGAATTCCTTTACAAACATGCTGGTCAGGAAAGATTTCACTCCCTGGGTAATTATTCCAGTGACTTTTATTGTCTTTTGGAAGTCCACTTGCAGCCACTCTTTTGGATTATTCACCTGAGGAAAGTAGTGTTGGACTAGTAGTCTGTCAGTCACCATTTGCTCCTAAAAATCTCCAGTCCCATTCTTAACCATACCATAGCACCTATTTCTTTGAATTATTGTCTCTGAGTACTGGGGATTGAATTTGGGGCCTTCACAATGAAGTATCCTCACATAACTCTTTAAATTTCAAAACAAGATCTCACTAAGTGATTAAGGTGTCCAGTTGGGACTTGAACTCTCAGAGGGGCGGTATTACAAGCATGCAGCACCATGCCTAGATCACGCTTCACTTCAACAGTTGTTAAGTCTTCCTTATTTGACTAAGAAAATTTAGGACCAACATTTTTCATAACTCATTCCTGTATCCTCAGAGAGAACCACTTCAAAGGAGTCTAATAAATGCTGAGTGAACATAAGAGCCATATACAGACGGACAAATATGTACATTGGCAATGCATGTAAAAACTATTTCATTTAAAATAAACCCCTGGAAGAGCAAAGGTAATTAATTCTATTAGCTCCCTTAAAAGCTATTCAGTAATGGAAAATTATAACCTTGGTGGCTCTGGAAAATATCTTTGTCCAATGAAGTCTCTGTAACTGTAACTCTTTCTATTGAAGTCCAGAGAGATCTAGAAGAAAGCTAATTGTTAATACTTAATACTTATCTGTAAAACTGAAGCTAAAGTGTGCTATTATTGTTTGACATATATTACGCCACTACTGGAGACTGAAAATTCAATTAGTGATCACTCTTCCCCTCAACGAGCGCTGTGTGAAATCACATGGATATTCACAAAAAACCTGTGTGTATGCCCATAGTCAACCTTTCTAGACACTTTTTGAGAGCTTGTTTGGAGGTTCTAGCAGGGGAGCGCAGTTCCTCCTATACCTCTGGCCGAAGAACAGTCCTCCTCTAATGGGAGGTGGTCGTCCTCTTCGACCAGGCGTGCAGCTTCGGGAGGGACGCACATGGAGCATTGAGGGAGGAAGGGGACACCCCCCCTAGCCAGCCAGATCAGCCGAATCAACCCTGGTGATGAATGGAGTGACAGATGTCGCAGCCAGATTGCCCTCACATCCTCTAGACACTATTTTAGGAAAATAGTTGACAGAAACACTTCTGAAGAAATAAGGGCTTCCTTATTCTCTCCAAGCCCTACTTCCTGCTCTACATCAGCTGGGTGGTAGAGATGCTGCTTCTTACCTGAGGTCTCCAGGCATTAGTCCTGCCCTGGAGATGAAGTCGGGCTTGTGAAGGAGACCAGGTAGCAAACTTATTAATTAAGTAGGATGAGGCAGTAATCTGTGTGTCTGATATTAATTTACTCTCCATTCCCAGTGGTATGCTGCAACCTCAAAGAAATGATAAGAGAATATTATCACAAGGACAGGCTACAGCCTGGGTTTCACTGGGCGGGCTCCAATACTCTAGAGCTCTGTAATCATGATCAATTCTTAGGCACTAAACTTGCACAAATTCTATTATTGCTAACGTGCAACTGCTGGTCAGTTCTGCTCAGCTCTGTTTAACTCTGATTTTTCTCGGTAAGAAAAATATAGGATGTGGTTGCCTCTGGGAAATCACATGGCTAAGCTAACAAATTCCCAGGTTTTCTCAGGCCTGTGTTGGTTTTATTTCTGATAGTTCTGTTCAGTGTCCTGAGACAGTTAGCCCCTCCTCCCAGTTTCAAGACAAGTAGAATAGTTAGTGACACTGCTCATGCTTGGGCAATGAAAGGATGTGGAGTGACTTGGAACTTACTATTTAAATCACAGCCCATCAACTCCATGCGAAGAGTGCTGCGGATGTTATAATGAGTTGGGTGCAAACGGATGTACCGTGCAATAATTGGAGGATTAAAAATATTGTGTTTTATTCCAGATGAATCTACATTGCCAAAGAAGACCTGTTAGGAGGGATTATCACAGATAAATGGAAAGCAAATACAAAATGTAAAGCAATTTCTCTTTCTAATTTCTAATATTGTCATAGCTTATTTCTAATATTGCCATGTACATTTCTTATCAGAATCAAATATCTAAGTAAAACCGTGCTGAGTAGATAGATGTTAGGATAGTATGTGTGAAGGATAAAAGCACCAGGAAGAGTGGAACAAGATTATGCCTCATCCAGTGGAAAATGAAGTCATTTTCTACCTTGGGTTCCTGTATAAAGCGTATAAACGTTGAAGAAGCAACTTAGAGCTTTGCTGTTCCAGTATGGTATCACCTGGGAGCAATTAGAAAAGCAGTAAATTGGTGGAATAGGAGATACCTTGCTCTCATTTTCCCTCCATAGGAACAATGACTTGGCAGCCATCCATAGTCAAAAGTACCTTTGTTGGAGTCTTGGAATCCAGGTAAGAGGTTAAGAAACCTCAGTGGAGCCCCAAACCAAGTGTAGTTGCTTTGATAAGGCAAGCCTGAACCTTAGTGACCGGCTGCAAACTGTGGTCCTGGCTGCAGAAGCAGCTGACCTGCCATGGATGTAACTCCAACCCACTTGTGTGTAGTCTGGATACCATCCTTATCCCTTCAGAGACATGGGAGGGGCAAGCCCTGTTTACACTCCCAGTAACAGGTGTCTATGATTTAGCTGTGATTTGGAAGCTTGGTCCCCGCTGCAGTGATGTTGATAGGTGCCAGGACCTTTGAAAGGTAGAGCCCAGTGGGAAGTCACTGGGGCCACTGCCTTCAGAAAAGATTAGGGTAGTTCCAACGGGATCGCTGTTACTCTGCACAACAGTGAGTTGTTAGGCTGGGCATGGTGGTGCACGCCTGTAATCCCAGCACACGGGAGGCTGAGGCAGGAGAATCACTGTGAGTTTGAGGCCAGCCTGGGGTACAAAGTGAGGTCAAGACCTGCCTGAACTGCATGGTGAAACCCTGTCTCAAAAAGACAAAAAATAAAAAAAGAGTGAGTTGTTATAAAAAAGCAAGCCTGGCCCTGAATTATATTCTGCCTTTCTGTATTGTCACATGATCTCCCTCTCCATGCCACTCCACTACTGTGATCTTATCTGCCATTTGACTCTCACCGTGGATGAGCATAACCCAGTGCAATGGTATTGAACCTTCAGAACTATGAGCTAAATTAATCTTTTATTTATAAGTTATTCAGCCTCAGGTTTTTTTTGTCATAGGAACAGAAAATGGACTAATGTAAGTTGAACAACTGTGCACCCTAAAGAAATTCTGTGACTCAGCTCTAGCTCCACACTACTATGGTCTATGGGTAGTTTGCATGCCCGGGGAACTCCTGGGAGCCATGCCAGTCCATTACTTCAGAAACGGATCCAGGCTATCTTTCCTCCACTTAATGTGTTTGGCACCTTTGTCAGAGATAAGATGGATGAGTGTGTCTGGAGATGTTTCTGCATCTTCTGATCTGTCCCACTGGTCTTCAAGTCTGTTTTTTTGCCAGTACCATGCTGATTTTATCACAGCAGCTTTGTAGTACCAAGTCAGGGATTGTGATGCCCCCTGTCTTGCTTTTGTTGCCCAGAATTGCCTTTGCTATTCTACGACTCTTCTGGTTCCAAATGAATTTTAGGATTGTTTTCTCTATTTATGTGAGATATGCTGTTGGAATTTTGATTGGAATTGCATCAAATCTGTATAACAGTTTTGGAAGTGTAGACATTTTCACTATACTGGTTCTTCCTTCCCAAGAGCAAGGGATAGCTTTCCATTTTCTGATATCTGCTTCAATCTCTTTTTTCAGAGTACTGTAGTTTTCAGTGTAGAGGTCTTCTATATTCTTTATTAGATTGATTCCTAGGTATTTTTTTAAACGATCTTGTGAAAGGTCCTGTTTCCCTACTTTCTGTCTCAGTGAGTTTGTTATTAGTGTACAGGAAGGCTATTGGTTTTTGAGTGTTAATTTTGTATTCAGCTATGCTACTGCATTTGGTTATTAAATCTAACAATTTTAGTGGAGTTTTGGGGGTCTTCTCTGTAGAATATCATGTCATCTTCAAATAATGATAATTTAACTTCTTCATTTCCTATCGTTATTCCATTTCTTTAATTGGGATGGGGGAAAGAAGAAAAGATGGAAGGGAAAAATATATAAATACAAGATAGTTATACTACACTTTCTTTTAGTTCATTGAAAAGAAAGGTTTGTGCTAATATTGCTTGGATAATTAAATGCAGATATCTTGTATTCTGAGTTACTCATTTAAAGATAACAAATGTAGTGTATTAACCATTGTTACCATCCTATTATTTTGTTTTGAAATTTTGTTTTAGTTTTTCTCTTTGAAATAAAAAAATTTAAAAAGTGACATCAAATATAAGACAGTTTCATAACACTACAGCATATTTCTCAGCAGAAACTTTACAGTTCAAGAGACAGCAGGATGATATATTCAAAGTAATGAAAGAAAAAATACTCCATCCAATAGTATTTTACTTTGAACAATTGTCCTTCAAGAATAAATAAGAGATTAAGACTTTCCCAGACAAAGACTGTGAGAGTTTGCTGCTACTAGGCCTGCCTTACGAGAAGGGTTAGTAATTGTTCCACTTGAAATATAAAACACTAAAACAGCAACATGGTCCTTAATGAACACAAATACAAAATCCTCAAACATTAGTAAACAAAATTCAACAATACATTACAATAATTATATAATATGAACAGGTAGGACTTCTCTGTAGGATACAAGGATAGCTGAACATAACAAAAATCATCAATGTGATATACCAGGTTGATATATAAAAGATAAAAACCACATAATCCTTCCAATATATGCAGAAAAAGCACTTTGCAAAAGTTAGCATATATTTATAATAAACACTGTCAAGAAAATAGTTACAGAAAGAACTCACTTGAGTGTAATAATGACCATATAGGAAGATCTTACAGCTAATAGTATAATCAATGGAGAAAATGCAAAGCTTTTGCATTTCTCAGTGCAAGGGAAATGAAAGATACCTCATACTGATGAATTGGAAGAATTATTTCTGCTAAAATATCCAAATGACTCAAAGTGTTCCACATGTTCACTGCAATCTCTACCAAAATCTCAATGACATTCTTTACAGGAATGGAAAAATATCCTAGGTTCACATGGAACCACAAAAGAACCCTTAAATCAAAGCAAACTGTAGCAAAGCTATCAGTCATCACATTTTCAGATTTCAACATATTACAAGACTATAGTAAGAAAAGTAGTATGATACTCACATAAAAGAAGACATACTGACTTATGAAACAGAATAGAAAGCACAGAAAGAAATCAGTGCATTTACTATCAATAAATTTTAAACAAGGATGCCCAGATCACACAGTGAGGAGAGGATAGTAAACAGTAATGGAAAAACTGAATATCTACATACATAAAACTGAGATTTGACTCTTTTCTCATAACATACATGACATCAGCTCAGAATGGATTAAACACTTACAAGTAAGACCTAAACTGTAAAACTTACAGAAGAAAATAGAAGAGACATATTTATTGCTGTTAGAAAATTTGGCCCTGGCAAGAGGTAGTAGAAGTATGGTGGTGCATGATTATAATCCTAACACTCCGGAGGCTGATACAGGAGATTCACGAGTTTGAGCCCAGCCTGGGCAATTTAGGGAGACCTTGTCTCAAAATTAAAAAAAAATTTTAAAAAGGGATGGGAATGTGGCTCAATGCAAAGATCCTAGGTTCAATTCCCAGTACTTCAAACTAAACAAATATATATAAATAAATAATAAAAAGAAGTAGTAAAATTAAATCTCAGATAGCAACTTTCTCAGCCTAGTACACTTCTCCCATACTTAAAGAAAGGTAGACCTGGGCGTGGTGGCACATGTCTGCAATCCCAGTACTTGGGAGGCTGAGGCAGGAGGATCTTTGCAAGTTCGAGGCCAGCCTGGGCCACAAAGAGAGTTCAAGGCCAGCCTGCACTGCATAGAGAGACCCTGTCTCATAAAAAGGCAGAAAGAAAGACATACAGAAAGAAAAAAAGATAGAAAGAAAGGCACACCACAGTGCACCTTTCTGGAGTGAGGATGCTCAAAATTACCTAGAGAAAATTACATGTTCACTCTCTCTGGCCAATCCCTACATAAGTGAGTGCTGACAGATTTTGGTGGGTTGAATTTTATGTCTCATTGTGACTAAAATAATGAATATGAAGTGTCTCCTAGAAATGGGGTAATTATTTTCTATTTGAAAGAGTTTTCATTTTGTACTTCTTTTGAGAAATGTCTATTTGGTTCATTTGATCATTTTTGATTTGCATCATTTGCTTGCGAGTGTCAATTTCTGAGTTCTCAAAAGTAGTACAAATGGCCAATAAGTACATGAAGAGTGTTTACCATGTTGAGTGTTTACCATATTTAACTATTTCTCTAATAGTTAGCTATTAGAGAAATGCAAATCCAAACTATTCTGAAGTTTTTCCTCATCCCTGTCAGAATGGTCAGCCTTAAGAACACAAAGAGCAACAAATTCTGGCAAGGGTGTGAGGGGAAAGGAGTCCTGAGGAGTAGTTGGCAAATTTTTTTCATTCTATAGGTTGTCTCTTCTCTCTATTGATTGTTTTCTTTGCTACCTAGAGGCCTTCTAATTTGACATAATCACATCTGTTGGTTCTTGATATTATTTCCTGTGCTACTGAATTTCTGTTCAGGAAGTCTTTGCCTGGGCCTATGGATTTAATTGTTTACCCTATGTCAGTGGTGGGGAACCTATGGGACATATGCCACGGGGAGGGGGGTGTTTGCGTCATTGAAAGCTCTAAAAGGTTCGCCATCCCAGCCCTATGTTATCTTCCAGCAGTTTCAAAGTTTCTTCTTTTTATATCTAGATCTTCATTCCATTTTGATTTTAGTTTAGTATGTGGTGAGTGATATGGGTCTAGTGTCAATTTTCTGCAAGCGGATAGCCAGTTTCCTCAGCAC